TGTCAGAATAACCAGTTGAATGCATGAATTTTCTGAGCTGAGGGCTTAGCAATCAGGTGAGCAGGCAGAGGATGAAATAAATCTTGTGCGCAGAAAACCCAAGTCAAATGAAACTGATCAGCAGCAGCTCTCCAAAGCTTCAGACAAAGTTATTTCAGCCCTTCTGGGTGATACTGAACATTGAACTAGGATCTTCTGTATGCAAAATATGCCACTTGCTCTGCTAAAGAGGGTTTTTGGATGAATTTCTAAACTCTCCTAGTTGCTTAACATGAATGCATAGCCTGCTTTTTTCCCCACCCAATTCCAGTCCAGGTGTATTTATGTGATTAAGGAACTGCTATTTTGGTGGCTGGTTGGAGATTTGGGAAGATACATTTTAATTTGGGAAGGCTACCGTAGTGAAGGAGCTGTGTGGGATGGGAGTAAGAAATGCAGCACTCCTCCACATTAATCAGCCTGAATGATTTCATCAGGTTACCTTGTGAAAGGAAGGAAGGAAGGAAAGAGGGAAGGAAGGAAAACTCCAGATGGAAATTAATAGTGTGGGTTGTGTGACACATCTTCATTTTTACAACAGCTATAATAAGTGTGATATATTAATTTTCATAAAGGTGTCCCCTGTAAATATAAATATGATAATATAAAAGGATCTGGCTTTATTTAATATTCTTTTTTTTAAAAGGGCGGTGGGTAGAGAATAGGAGATATGCAAGCTGAAGGCTGAAGCTTCATTCATTCTGAGAAGGAACCTGCCACTTGCTGGGAGATGATTTATCCAAGATTATTCCGTGAAGAGGATAGACTTTGACCCAAAACTCCTCCCAAACCAAACTCATTTCACTGGAATCATATCAGCAGATGAGTTTGAAATGGAATTTGGGAAGCACCTAAAACATGTACAGGCATAGTTTACAAGCAGCAGATGTGTGGGCATATGCATAAACTTAGTTATGTGTGGATGGATTTTATGGATTGGTGGAGGTACACTCTGCTTGTGATTCTGTCACTTTCTTGTATCCAGAAAAAAGAAAGAAAAGCAAATGAAAGATCAACAGTCTTGTCCTGCTTGTTTTTGCTTTGATTTACTTAATTGCCCATCATGGGAGGTGGATGCTTTTAATAATTATTAAGAAAGTATTAGGATTTTCACTCTTTGCTGGTGGAGGTCACAATACAAACCAGACTCTAACCAGACTCTAACCAGACTCTGGTTTGTGGATTTATATAAATCCACAAACCAAAGGAAGGCAACATACAGTTTGGGTTAATCTAATTTAGTACTAGCTATTATTTTATGTGTTGCATTTATATTATATTTTTCAAAGAGATGTATTCACACTTTCCTGGAAGTTTTATTAACCTAGCAAGTTTATGAGATAGTTTAGGCTGGGTGATAGCAACTGGCTTGGTTACTCTGTGAATTTCATGGCAAAGCAGGGACTCAAAACTGGATTTCTCCAGGATTATCCACATTTGACCATCAGTAACTGAAATGTAAATTGATCACTACTATGCAAGAAATAATTGAGGACTATGAAATGTATGAGGACAAATGGTAAATCATTGGGGCTTCCTTACTTGTACTTAATCACAGTAGAAATGAGTACATGCCCTGGCCACGTCATTTTATATCATGTCCCCATGATGTTGCCTTCATCTCATCCATAATCCATGAATGATACAATATTAATTCATCCTTAGCTGTACCGGATCAAAAGTAGAATTGCTTTCCTGCTTCCAGGACCATCCAAGGATAGTCTCAAATGCTGTTAACTCTGTTAGCCTTGGGAATCTCTTGTGATTGCAATGATTTGAAACAGAGGTACAGTAAGGATTGGCAATGGATGTGGTAAATTTTATTCCAGTACAGGTTTCTATCTTGTCAGTAAGTCGCCTATTGACTACTTAGTTCTGTATTATTAACATTAATGGTAGCAGCCATTACATTCCAAACAGCAGCATTCCCCTTCCCTACTTCAAATAGAATAGAATAGAATAGAATAGAATAGAATAGAATAGAATAGAATAGAATGGAATGGAATGGAATGGAATGGAATGGAACGGAACGGAACGGAACGGAACGGAACGGAACGGAACGGAACGGAACAGAACAGAACAGAATTCTGTTCCTTGTGTGTTTGAACACACAAGGAACTTGTGTTTGGTATATATGCTCTCAGTGTACATAAGGAGAATAAAATACATTCATCAAGAATAAAAAGATACAACATTTAGTGATAGTCAAGGTTACTAATAAGCTATCAAATCGTACTAGGAAACAAACAAACAAACAAACAAACAAACAAACAAACAAACACCTGGGATTAAAATCTTCATAGAAACCATATATTTTAGCCCTGGGATCTATCTTTTATTAGTTGAATTGCTTGTAATTTTGAATACATGATGTTAGCTAACATTCAATGCCTCTGTTTTTTCTTAAGTGCTCTGCACAGTGCTAAGTCTTCTCAATTACCAAATAACAATTAAGAAGAAGAGCATGAGAACTTGCTTGAAGGACAGGAGAGGGAATGGCCTGATTGCTGACAGTGCAAACAGATGCCAATTAACCAACATGTTGCTTGATTTTAAGCATACATAAATGATGTAACAGGAATGCTATTTGTTGAACTTTGATTACTCAATCAGACTCCACGCTGATGTCAGTAGCCTAAGTGGTTTCTTATGTACAGCACTCTTACAAAGGTATTAAATGCAGATCTGCCTGTAGCAAGGTTTCTTTTAATCCAGGCGATGACAGAGAAAAGACGCCTGAGTATGAAAGAATATGTCAGAAAACACTATCAAAAAATACAGCTGGGTTCTGTGCAATTTGGAGATCAGACTCTCTAACTGCAGGGATGGATAACTTAGTCAAGCCAGTAACACTGTCTTTCAGCTCAACATATCCAAGCATTACCTAGAATAATTTCAGTAGAATGTGGACAATGGGAAAAAAAAGGAGAACAAACAAAGGATAAGGTTATTTGAAACAATGGTAATCAGTTTGATCAGATCATGACATCACACTAGTAAGGCAATACAGTACTTGAAAAATAGGATTATTGTAAAGGAGGGTGGGGCTGTCTTTTGTTGATTCAAAAATAATGAAAGAGGAAAATCTATGAGTCATAAATGACAGAGAACCTCAAGTATATTGAGAGCAGGTCAGTGCCATGTCTTGGATTGCCACCAGTGGTGCTAATATGATTTAAAGTTCCGTGCCAGAGGTTTCAACATGCCTTTTTCCCCTCCCTTCAAAATATTTCTCCTATGTCTATCCCCTTTGATTCTGCATTTATATAGCCATTTCTTTGATTGAAAAACATAATGGTTAAACTTTTTACTGAAAGTAAAAATGCAGAGGAATATCTGCTGTGATAATTATTAACTAGCAACCTTGTGATAGCAATCCCTGAATGGCAACTTTCATGAATGCCAAGAAACTGGGCAGCTCCAATGCCATGGATTAGAGCTGGAACTTCATCAGAGACAGAAGAGCTACCAAACAAATCAAAAACGTGGACTGCTTTCACACTGCTGCCACAGTATCAGATGTGCTTATGAAGTCAAGTGATGCCCATGCTCAGGTTAGCTTTGCTTTGCCTTCCTTCCCTCCCTTTCTGTAGGTGACTGAAGAATAAGCTTCTGCCATACAGTATTGCTGTAAGAAATCTACGCGATGTCATTATCATGGTTTTCCTGGGACTAACATGTCAGACCACTGACAGTGTGCTAACACATAAACAAGAAGAGCAGGAAATGCTTCTAAAGTCCCATCCATACATGGAGGTATTGCAATACCTTCCCATTAAGAAAATCATCAGATGGGAGTATGCTCTGAGACAACATGTTTGAGATATTTAGTATTATTTGCTTTATGGTAATTGTGAGTCAGATACCCAGCAAAATATGAGAATTTGGGGGTAGGTTGGTGAAATATGAGATAAAGAGTAGGTGTATGTCTTCTGCTGTAGCCAGTGGCATCTGATTAGGCCTGGTTTGGTGGAGAAAATCAAGTCTAGGCAGCAGATGAAGTTGGTTCAAAGAGATGGAATCTAATAAAAGCATTGCAGCTGCAACAGACTAAATCAAGAAAATTGTCCTCAGAGGTAAAGGACAAAGAAAACCAGAATTATGGATTATTCCAAGTAAGCTTCTTACCTATTGTAAGAACAATAGGAGAATCCAACTGAAGTTTTATGCTGAAAGCCACAATTGGTAGTATGATCAGCTCTACCCTTTCTGAAGAATCTGATTGCAGTATTAAAAGTTACTCCTCTGATTTCTCAGTCTAAGACATCTGTGAGGCTGGAAAAATGGAGGCTTTTGGTAGGGGCTCATCCTTGAACTCATAGGATGACAACAACGCAGTATCCTCATCCTGGATGAATATAGGATTCTTCATTTTCAGTCATCTCCTGCACCAGTTCTGTTGCACTTCAGAAAGCTGGTATCACAACAGTATATGGCGGGGCTTAGCTATTCTAAATTATTCATACCTCCTGATTTCCTTCCTTGTAGTTATGGTTCTTTAAACTGATGTACAATTTCCTTATACAAAGAAGCCTTGGCACAGGTTTAAAAATGACGTTCTCTATTTAAAGGAACAATTTCAAATGCATACAGAAGATAAACAGGTATTAGAACAGATACTTACTGGAGAAAATTCAAGTAATATATGTAATATATATGTGTAATATATGATTATTGGCCTTGGTATCTTCTTCTCTGATATTTTAGATGGAAACAAACATAAACCTCAATGTACTTTTACATCAAGACTTTTAAAAATAGTCCCTGTGATTGGAGGAAAGTCCTGAAAGACTATCAGTTCATCTTATTTCAGATACATATGGGCTCTGAATGAGTTTAGTGTCAATGTTGCATAGTTGCATGAAGTGTGATAAAAATCATTCTGTTCTGATAGCCTCTTTTCTTCCTATACTGATTACTAACACTTTTCTTGTCCCCCCCCCAATTTTTTCCCCCTCCAGCCTGGCTCAACAATGGTCTGTTGAGGATGGAGAAGAGCAGGAGAGAGAGCGCAGGCGAAGACATAGGCAACTGAGTTCCACCTCTGAAACAAAGGAGGAGGAACCCTCCAGCACAGCACAGAATATGACCCGTCAGACATCAAACAGGTATTGGTATTTGTAGGTTGGGATGTTATGGAGCAGACTTATTTGCTTGTGCAAATTGCTTGGAAATTGAAGCCAGTTCTCATGATTTTGAAAAGAGACAATGACTTTCCGTTTGTTTGACCTAATATTATTTTACGAAGAACAGGGATTGAGATTTAGGGAGATAGGTATAGATTAAATGGAACCAGATGATGCTTTGGACCTAAAACTCCACCTACCCCATAAGAAAACTAGAATTCATGTTTCCATATCTTCTCCCTTTTCTAACCCTACAGCAGAGGTGGGTTTCAGCAGGTTCTGACCAGTTCTGGAGAACTGGTAGCGGAAATTTTGAATAGTTTGGAGAACCAGTAAATACCACCTCTGATTGGCCCCGCCCCCATCTATTCTCTGCCTCCCAAGTCCCAGCTGATCGGGAGGAAATGGGAATTTTGCAGTATCCTTCCCCTGCCATGCCCACCAAGCCATGCCACGCCTACCAAGCCACGCCCACAGAACTGGCAGTAAAAAATTTTGAAACCCACCACTGCCCTACATGCCTCTTCAAAATTGTGAGTTCCTTTATGGAATAATGTGTATATGTACAGAGAGGTGAAGACAGAATGGAAATTGACAAAATTTCTTTACCTTTCATGAATGGAGGAGTAACTCAAGATTCCAATCTATATTTATAGATAATTGGGAAGGAATATAGAGAATGTATATATTAATGCAGGACAGGATTATTTGATCTTTTTTCTGTTCTATGATGCCATACCAATTAAGATTATTATATTGAGTACAGAATAGATTGTCTAACTCAGAATAGTTGCTGCTGGTTGTTGGTGACTATTAAGGATTTTCAATACGAAACTTTCCAATTGTATGTATGTATATATGTATGTATGTATGTATGTATGTATTTAATTAGTTAGTTATGGCTCGCCTGCCAAATTCATAGTATATGAAGAAAACTCAGAAATTTCACAGTAATATTTGCCAGATCAGAGGGGGATAAATAGAGACCGTAGTTCTTTTTAAACAGTTCACAAAGTAATTAGAGATCTCTTTCAGTTTTTCACAATCCTTAAAACACTCCACACTCGGCTTTTTTGCAGCAAAATATCTTTTCTTCTTCAGCACTTTTTAGAATGATGGTTATAATGTATACTTCAGGAGGTGCAGAGAAGAGGCTTCTAGAGTGCCTGTGCATTGCTTTTTAAAAGGTGAAGAAAATGATAAGAAATGTCTTGGTGCCATGTGCATTTTAAAAATGAAATATGAACCTCATTTGCCTCATTCTAGTTATTGTTTTTATGAAGCAGTATTAGTTAGGGTTTGTTCCAATTAGAATACATTCCATCATGACTCTGGAAGGAGATAAATTCCCTGGTCACTTTCAACAGCACCTTTTTCATTCCAATCGTGGACCTTCATTTTGCATTTCTCTTTCCATGATGTGTACAGTACATGCAAGCTGTCTACATAGAAGACATAGACAGCAACATTTCTGTACCAAACTTTGAAAACAAAATCTGAATTGTCATAATCTAGAACTTAGAACATAAAACAACAGAGTTGGAAGGGACCTTGGAGGTCTTCTAGGCCAACCCCCTGCTCAAGCAGGAGACCCTATATTATTTCAGACAAATGGTTGTTCAGTGTCTTTTTGAAAGCCTCCAGTGATGGAGCATCCACAACTTCTGAAGGCAAGCTATTCCATTGGTTAATTACTCTCGCCATTAAGAAATTTCTTCTTAGTTCTAGATTGCTTTTCTCCTTGGTTAGTTTCCAACCATTGTTTCTTGCCTTGCCTTTGGTGCTTTGGAAAATAGTTTGACCCCTCATCTTTGTAGAAGAACCTCAGATATTGGAACAGTGCTATCATGTCCTTCCTAGTCCTTCTTTTCATTAGACTAGACCAGTGATGGCGAACCTATGGCATGCATGCTGGAAGTGGCACACAGAGCCATATCTCCAGGCATGCCAGCTGTCGCCCAGCTTGCCTTTCCAGGTTTCAGCACCAGTTGGTCTTCACTCACATATGTGCCAGAAACCGGAAGACTAGGTGACTGGTGCACACATGCACATGCTGGAAACTGGAAGCTCAGCTTCCCGGTGTGCACACGTGTGTTGGGGAACTGCTCTTCCGGTTTCTGGCATGCTTGCATGTGTGCACCAGGGAGTTGCTCCTCTGGTTCCCAGTGCTCCTCCATGCACATGCTCCTGTTTTGGCACTCGGTGCCGAAAAGGCTCACAAACACTGGACTAGACATTCCTGTAAATGTTTTTCATATGTTTTAGCCTCCAGCTCCCTAATCATTTTTTTTTTTGCTCTTTTCTGCACTCTTTCTAGAGTCTCAACAACTTTTTTGTATTGTGACCAGAACTGGATGCAGTAGTCCAAGTGTGGTCTTACTAAGACTTTGTAAAGCGGTACTTGAACTTCATGTGATCTTGACTCTATCTCTCTATTAATTTAATCTCTATTAATCTTTGTTATATAAAAGTAGCTGCTTCAAATTTCCAAAACAATCAAGTCATATGAATACAATCCTACCTCTATTACAGCCCTGAAGGACCTATGAAATTATTTATAACCTGGTTTGTAAATCTCATTCCTGTGTAAACCGTGTGAATCATGAATTCTTCTAAAATTTAACCTGTAGTGCCATCTAGCGCTGCTCATACGTTTCCTTCTTTTTTCCAAGGGTTGATAATTCCTTAGAGGCAAAGCTGCTTAACTTGGAAAATGCAGCACTGAAAAATGAGAAGACTGAACCAGTTTCAATAAATAAACTGGAAGGCAGGAGAGTGAGGAGGAGAGCAGAGTTTTTAAATAATATAAAACAAGAGAAGAAAATACTAGTGAGTACTAAGAAATTTGAAAAGGAACCTCCTGAAGAGAATCCTACATCTCCTCCAGAATCATCCAAAGAAGAGGGAAGAGCAGAAAAATGTGAAACCCTAACTCAGCAAAAGGAAGAAGAAGAAAGCCATCAAATCCAGAGTCAGAAAAAAGAGGAGATCATACTGGAGCAACATGAAGCCTTGAAGCATGAGAAGGACCTCAAAACGGATGAGGATCAGGTCTTCAGCGAGGAGGAGAAGGTCCCGAGCATATGTGAATCTCAGAGACTGGCTGTGACCCAGAATGAGGTGGCTTCCCAGGAGCCTCAACGAATTTTTTGCGAACGCAAAAGCATCAGCCGGCTTGAGGTGAAAATTCAGCCAAGAGCTAGAAAGTTTACTGATCCTGCTGTAGCCACACCTGCTTCTGAGGCACCACAGGTACTTAGTCTTGATATTTTATGAGGACAGAGAAAGTTTGATGAAAAGTTAATTGGGCAAAGATGCAAATTAGATATGGAGTAAATTGACTACATGGAGTTATTACTCATCAAAGTTGGCAGCGTCATTCAGCAGCAGGGTTAAAGGATCAAGAAATAGCTGAGCAGACATGGCCTAAGGCTGGATTAAGTAAGAGAAAGAGCATCTTAAATTCACAAGAAGCTTTCCTATTACCCCTACGTTAGAGAAATCCAATCTAAAAATCTTGTAAGTTTTTTCATTAAAAGGTTATCACCTGAGGATGCTGAAAGGATGTCAGATATTATCAAAATCTCATATTTGGGTTTTGGAGATAATGACAAGATTATTGATTTTGCCATGAAGTTGCCATAGATTAAGATTGTGCAAGGATGCTCAGGATCAGAAAAAACAGTCTACTATTGGTTTAAGAGATAGCAAAAGTCAAATTATCCAGTCTGTTATTAGTGGATGTTTATTTAATACAGTTAATCATTAATCTTAATTATATTTAGAAAGATCCAGGTAACAGTGTTATTCTCTGCTGCTCATAGGATAAAATTATAATACACAATTTAGCAATACATATAATAAAATAACAATTTTGGGAGGTTTGTAAAAGCCTAAAAAAGCTTTAAAGAGTATGGAAGTATTTTACAGACGTGCTAAAATATACCTCCTCCCACCCAAGGCTACAACTCCTTTTTGGAAAACCATTTCACAGCCTTTTCACGTTGCAATGTTGAAGTTGTTTTGCCTTTTTGTTGCTTTCATAATTTACAATTATTTTCATTTATTCTTTTTATATATATAGCCTAGCCCTTATGTTCTATACCGTACTGGATTTACATATTCTATATTTTGCAATGAAACCTTAGTAGATACAACTTTTTCTCAGAAAACCTAGAAGAGGTAATCAGACCATTTGTTAAATGTGTTGTGGATGTAAATAGATGTGCTCAGTAGTATAATAGGTCTTACAGAGTTCAAAAGGATTTATTTCCAATTTTTACAAAAAATATTTGTGGTGGAACAGCCACACGGTGGCGCAGTAGTTAGAGTGCAATACTGCAGGCTACTTCTGCTGACTGCCGGCTGCCTGCAATTTGGCAGTTCAAATCTCACCAGACTCAAGGTTAACTCAACCTTCCATCCTTCTCAGGTGAGTAAAATGAGGATCCAAATAGTTGGGGGCAATATGCTGACTCTGTAAACTGCTTAGATAGGACTGTAAACCACTGAAAAGTGGTATATAAGTCTAAGTGCTATTGCTATTTTCTCAGTCCTCCACCTTGTGTTTCCTTGGTTCATGTTTTTCTTTCAGGTCGCCGAAAAAACTATTCCCAAATCAAATGCTAAAACTATAAGGTCTCCCTCTGGTCAAGAAGGTTTTGATGCCCCTATATTAATTTCTGAACCGCGGATTACCTATAGTAGCTCATTCAATCGTATCAGTCCAAGGACTATTTCATTCCGGGTAAGGATTTATTACAAATTATGAAAAGGTCCCTTATTTAAAAATGAAATCTAGGCCCTATGGCAATGACACAAGCAATATTCTACTTGCACAAAGGCAATGAGGCTACACGACTACCACTACAATAATTTTTTATATATGAAGTGCAGATAATTGCAGAGAGTAAGGTTGCCCAACCTTTGTACTGTATGTCTATAGGCTAATCTTTGACCTTCCAAAATATAGTATATATAACCAAGGGAAAATTGATTTTGATTGTATTTAAAATCTACATTTAAACTTAAATGAAAGCTAAATACAACCAACATGATTATTCCCAAGGCCAACTTCAAATAAGCATACTTTGGGAACAATTTTTAGGACAATATGGGGTCACTACTCAAAATTATGGGTGTCCACTTATGCGCTGCTGTTGTAGGAAAAAACTTACATGTACACTCTCATGCAATTGGAAACTTCCCAGTTCCACTGTTCCCCGGTTCTGGAAATCAGGCATGTTGGTCAGGGGTGGGTTCTACTTACCTTTACTACAAGTTCACATCGCGCTTGTGCACTCTTCTGCGCATGCGCAGATCATCTGTGATGACGTCTGGGTCATGGGCGGAGCCTCCTGCCAGTTTTATTACCAGTTCTTGTGAACCGGTACGAACTGGGGGCAACCCACCGCTAATGTTGGTGCTGAGTAGCCATATAGTGTTGGGGATAGGATTAGTGGTATAACTCTCATCTTCCTTCATAGGAGCTGGGGTTAGGAAGATCTCTTCATGGGGGTAGAATGTGAAATGTGGGAGCCAAGTAATATTGTCCAAATCAGAAAACCTGAAGACTTTCAGTCCATTCTTAATATTTAAGAGCTTTTTAATCTTTTGAAATATTTACCAAAGAAGGCCATTTCAACATCTAATCCATACCTATCCTTTTGCACATGATGTTGTGATCCTGTTATGATGTGACTTCCCTGTACACATTTACTCTTTGCAGCTAAGGTTTCCCCTGCACCCTGCAACAGAGTCTTTTCAGTTGGGGTTTGGGTGGGAGAAATAATACTTGCTAAAATTTCCCTTTATTCCCCATAATTATTGAACATGCAAAAACCTGATTCTTGCTCTCTATTTCTTCTGCTTCTAGGTTGTTCCCAGGAAAGAAAGGCAAGAAGATGTATTAAGCAGAAGGTAAGGACATACTAATACAGCACTGCAATTCCTTTGTAGAGTTTGCATTCTTGCCCCATCTTTGTGGTAGAACAGGGATGTCAAACTCAAGGCCTGGGGTCCGGATTTGGCCCGTGGGGTATTTAGATCTGGCCCACGGGGCTGCTCTGGAAACAGAGAAGGACCAGCCAGTGGTGCTTCTGCCAGTGAAAACGGGCTCCCAAGCTCCATTTTTGGCTGCCACGGTCCCCTGCAACTCTGCCAGTGAAAACAGAGCTTGGGAGGGGTCCCGAGCTCCGTTTTCACTGGCAGAGAGTTGCAGGAGGCCGTGGCAGCCAAAAATGGAGCTCGGGAACCTGTTTTCACTGGCAGAGTGCTTGGGCCCCCACAGGCACCCCCGACAGGAGTGACATAGAGCTGGCCACGCCCACCTTGGCCCCTCCACCCTGGCCCCCCAAGGTCAAACACAACCCTGATGCGGCCCTCAATGAAATCGAGTTTGACATCCCTGCGATAGAAGGACAGCAACAGAATGGCAACAGAGATCTATGTGCTTCAATTGAAAATGTTTTGTTACTTTTACTGTTTAATTTTAATTTTGTTTTGTTTAAAGGAAGAGGCTTCTGGATTTGTAACATGCCCAAATATTCTTTAGCACACACATTATGCTTCTTTTACAAGTTTTAAGAGCTGCACTTATTGTATAGGCCACTGGAGGCAGAATCTGCTGTAACTTGGCCTGTAAAATTCCTGTAGGCTCTATTGCAGTTTTTATTTAAAACTTCTGATCAAAGGAAATTCAGTCAAATCAAATCCTCAGATCAATTCAGCCGTTTGATGGACTTTTATCTATCTGCATTTGGGCATTTTATAAACTCAGTACTTCAAGTCAGACTGGCAGTTATAATTGGATTAGATGTTTAGATTCAAAATTAAAATTACAATGGAATTTGCCGTAAAGATTTCTGTAGTAAGGTAGTACTTAGAACTTTCCTCCCACCCACACATATTCCCTTATATCAGTGCACACAGAATTTTGATATAAATAATGGGGTGATTTGGAATCTCATTCAGAGCAGAAATTATATACTGTTGATTTTGATGGCAAGCTTAAGTCCTACATTTTATAATGGATGACTGTGACAAGAACTCAGCTGTGTCCCGACTTTTATGTATTTATTCCAGTGGTGAAATCCAATTTTTTTTACTACCGGTTCTGTGGGCGTGGCTTGGTGGACATGGCAGGGGAAGTATATTGCAAAATCTCCATTTCCACCCCACTTCAGGAGAAGGATACTGCAAAATCCTTCCCTCCCCACTCCTGGGGGAAGGATATTGCAAAATCTCCATTCCCACCCCATTCTGGGGCCAGCCAGAGGTGGTATTTGCCGGTTCTCCAAACTACTCAAAATTTCCGCTACCGGTTTTACAAACTACTCAAAATTTTGACAGGTTCGCTCCAGAACCTGTCAGAACCTGTTGGATTTCACCCCTGATTTATTCTCTTTATCTGCCTTGATCCACTTTGGAAGCAGCTAAATGTCCATCTTATGTTTCAAGATTCCTGTGAGAATATGCTTGCAAGCTGAATATTAAACAGTTGAGAACAGAGTATTTTATGATATGACTTGAAACAATACTAGGTTGCAGTTTCTCCATGGGAACTTCAAAATGTTAAGTTGCTGGGGATTCCATACCTGATGTTGTCTAGATGTGATGAACTAGATGTTCCATAGTTTCTAGCCTCTTTGAATGTTAAGCTTGTTTGAAGTTGTAGTCCATCATATCTGGAATGTCACATTTGAGCAGCAATTGGTCAGAACACCTGTTGTCAGGCTCTAGAGGTTCACAGTCAGCCTTGTAAGGTGAATATTCCCTGACCTCAGATAATGAACAGTAGGCTGAGGGAAAATGGAGATATGGATACATGAAATAATTGAAATACTGACAGATCACGATAGATTCAGGGCAGTGGTGAAATGTAAAATTTGTTACTACTGGTTCCGTGGGCGTGGCTTGGTGGGGGGGAATTGTGACTGGGTGGGCGTGGCCAACTTTTTTTTTTAATTTTTAAAAGCATTTTTTCTACAACCTTAAGAGGCTTTTAAAAGTATTTTTTTCTACAATCTCTTCGGCCGAAGAGGTTGCAGAAAAAATGCTTTTAAAAGCTTCTGATGATCCCAGCTGAGTTGCACGATCATCGGAGGTTTTTTTTTTTACCTTTAAAAGCATTTTTTCGGCCAAAGAGGTTGTAGAAAAAATGCTTTTAAAAATAAAAAAAAAGCCTCTGATGATCGCGTGGCTCAGCTGGGCATGGAGGAGGGGCAGGGATTTTTGCTACCAGTTCTCCAAACCACCCGCCGCCATCGCTACTGGATCAGGCGATCCGGTCCAAACCGGGAGCATTTCACCCCTGATTCAGGGGTATCTGCAGAAGGTGGTCAACAAAGTTAAGACGGTAATCATAACAGTTCAATTGAAGCTCTGCCTAGTTTTATCTGTATGATACATTTGTATTTTAAAAAAACAGGACAACATTTTATTGCAGTCATTGTGGCCATCCTTGTAAATTTATCAACTATACCCTGTAGACACCTCTGATTAGATTGCTTTGCAAGTTTAATCAGAACAACAAATGTTTATCTTGATGAATATTGTTCTCTGTGAATATTGTAAGAGCCACTGATACTTTCTGAGCCTTAGAAAATGAATGTTGATGTATTTGCATCTCCTTCACTAGTGCCAGTATGAGGCTTCCAGCAAGCACAGTCAAACTTGAGGAGAAGCTAGAGAGATATACATCTGCTGTCCAGGTAAATATGGCAATAGAAAATGTGGTTGTTCAGACATTTCTACATCTCCAAAATGAAATGAATAAAAGGAACAAATAAATATTTATCATGAAGAGTTCCTAGCCATACCTTATTGGTTTATATGTGGATTAAAAGCTCAAAGAAAGAGGAATATGTTTCATAATACTGTTATTATGTGAGAAAGAAATTGGTTCGGTCCTGATTGCCTGACTCTTGTCTTATTCCCAGAGGGCAGGATCCATTAAAGTGTCTTCACCTATTCGGAGAAACTTCCAACCAGCTTCAGAGGGTGTGGCCAGCAAACGTAGCATCTTTGAAGCCACTATTCCTGTTCAGAGTGAGCCTCCCACTCTTGTCCGTAAGGTAAAAACTGATCTTACCCAGAAACATATTGCTGGAAGGAATCAGATATCTAGGAAAGGTGTGGTCAGGTGAATTAGACAAGATTAGCTATTCAATGTAAAGATTAAGAACCGCAAGAAAAGAGGCCATTTTTAAAGTTGCCCACCATCAAGTCAATAAATAGATACTACTAGGATTCTAGCAACCATACTTGTAGGATGTTTTTACAAGAATCTTGAAAGCCGATTCAAAATCTTCACTCACTGTACAATTTTTAGGGCAAACATGGTCAGAGTGGTGGACAATATTCCGAGTCACTTTCTCAGTTTCTATTTTCCCATCTCTTACCTGAGGCCAGAACTAAATTCCTTCACACTGTCTTCTCCAATTCTGCTGTAATGAATTTCAATTTAAAATAAACTCAGTATTTTTAAATGTTCATCTCTCCATAAACGTTAGTAAATGTTCAAATAATTATGCAAGTTACATCCTTATGTGTCATTTTTTGCCTCTTGTTTTGGAGGCTACATAGATGCACTTCAGCTGAGGCCCTTCTGCTTGTAGACCAATGACTATTCCTATGATTTTTTAAAAAATAAATGATTAGGACTCTGGGTAAGCAATCTAAGCAGACTGGAACAAAATGCAGTATTTAGTTGCCAACTATCTACAGCAGAGTCTAGGGTTATCTGCGGGAAAGACAATAGAAATATTATTGTCATGCAAATAACTTGGAACATCAACACCAGGAGTGAAATTCAGAAAAGGGAGGATTATTTTATTTTCTTATTAGAGTATTGCATAAAATGTATTTGTACAATTTATCTCTGTGGTTTATCTGCTCTGGAGTGAACATAGAGCCTTTCTTTGCTAGGAAAGTAAAAAGCTGAATCTATTTAGAAATTTCTAAAACCATATTCTTAAAATCATGAGTTCTTAGTTATTGGTTAGGTCTTAGAACTCAAACAAGTTCTTTCTTGTTTGAAAGAACAAGAGAAAAATCTGCTGGCCTGTACTGATACCAGTTTGCCCGGGTATTTTTTAATTTACATTTTCATGTTTGCTAATGATCTGTCACATTGAACGAACCTTAAGCTTCTCAATAGTAGAAAGAGTAATAAGTTCTCTATTCTTCTCACTGTGTGATTGAGTATTCTTTCTATTCTCTTATGGTTAGGAAAGTTTGAGGATCCCAGGAGGAGTCTCATCCCGAATAAATCTCTGGATAAGTCGAACTCAGGAATCCAAAAAGAATGAAGGAGACAAGGTATGAGAAAGTCTTTAGCAAGCTAAGATTTAAGATAACTTTTACAGCCATTTTTTTTACTATGAACACACTGACCCACATTAAAAATCAAATTCTGTTGCCTGCTCTCAAGAGTTAAAGAACTAGAATACTATCCCATTATATTAGCTAGAGGACTACCAATTTACTCCAGCTCATTTCCAGCTCTTAAACAGGAAATCCCATAGAGGTAGTCCTCAACTTATGAACTTCTGTTAATAAGCAATGTCATTGTGAAGAGTTACTGCACTGTTTAGGAGCGGCAATCCTTGGTTGCCATTGTTAACCAAATCCCATAGTTGTTTGGCAAAGCAACCTCCTGCTGGGTTCCCACAACCGAATCAGTGGGGAAGCTAGCGGGAAGTTGCAAATCCCAGGCAGCTTGCAAGCAGAGAGGTAAGGCAGATAATTGTTTGCTGCCAGGTGGGGAGGGCATGAGGGAGAGTGCAAAGGTGTGAGGAAGATGTGGAAAAGTATGGGGAGGGTGCAAGGAAGTGTGCAATGGTGTGAGGGAGGCATGGAGAGGATCAGTGGGGGTATTTGAGGGAGTGAGGGATGTCAGGGAGGATACGGGTGCACGAGTGGCTGGCACAGGCACATCGAGAATGCAGAGTGACTGGGAGGAGGGTGTGTCCATGGGTCGATGAAACTTATCCCCATACCTTATGACCTTCTCCAGCAGCTGCCACATTACCTTTTTGGGGAAGCTGGTGCAGAAGGATGCAAATGATAAACATATGACTGTAGGGTGCTGCAACTGGTCATAAAATATGAACCAGTTAACAAGTACCCAGTCCACAAGGGTACTGGGGTGGCTGGAACTCCAAGAACAGGTTGTAAGCACTATTTGTTCTGCGCCATCATAATTTTGAACTGTCACTGAATAAATTAGAGACTACCTATATTAGCTCCGGTTATCTGCACAGGGAATCTTTTAAGAGACCATGTTTTAACTTTCTGCAGGACATTCAGAGAACTGGGAACACCATACAGGGGAGTTAGTTGGAAAACTGATCTGATGGTTTGTGAAGGAAATCCAAGGTAAGGATGAAAAGAGTTAGGAATTGACATAAAATGACTTGCCAGACATGTGACGAGTATGAAAGTGATTTGGCCTGAGTATATCTCAATATGTGCGCAAGTAATATCGAATCTGCTTCATGAACACTTTAGCTTATTATCATTACACTATTATCACTCTGTTAATAATGGACTACTAAACCAAGAGTCCCCAAGCTCTGGGAACAGACCACTAGTGGGTCTGGCCCATTGGGAACTGGGCCGCCAAAATGGCAAGCTTCATTTGTGCAGGTGCAGGATTTAGGTTGTGCATGCAAAACCATTCCCTCTTCACCTCTGAAATTGCCGAAGCTGGCACCACCAGTCTGTGAATCAAAAAGGCTGGGGACCTCTGGATTAAACAACAGTGAAATAAAATGTTAATTGGGTATTCTATGACTAGACATACATGGATTCATTAGAATTATCTTCTGCCCTGGAAAGCTAACACTTAAGATTTAGTCACCAAATGCTGAAACAGGAGTACAGTGGGATGAACTGATTGATGAAATTGGAATATGTTGTTGACACTGTATCTAGGTCCATATCTGATGATAACTTAAATACTAACCAAGTTAGTATTTGAAGCCTAAAATTATGTGGGCTCCCTTTTAGGTAGATTATTAGCCTGTATAAATTGTATTAAAAATATCTCCTTATTTTGTAAGCCATACTGAGTCCCGTAGAGTTATGTTATATAAAATCATAAATAAATAGAATTATTCAGAACAAATGTTTCATCTCTTTGTGATTGAACCAAAGGATATGAATCTCCTATTATTCTGATTCTGCCTTATAACAAAGGCTGTATTCTGATCTGCTTTCTCATTGTTCTTAGTGTAACACTACAAGAATTCCTATGGTCATTCCAGCACAGTGTTTAATGGTGGAGATTTGGAGGTTGAAAGAGTTGCCATTAATTCCTCAAATCTCTGCATGAGTGTCACTAATCTCTTACCTCAAGCAGTTGAGAAACCAGGCTAGCACACATTTGCTATAATTAATGTATGAACTTACCATTACTGAAAAGGGAGAATAGTGTTCTCAAGTTCACTAATATTTCTGTTATGAACATGTATCTAAAAATCCAATATGGTGTTGATTTTACAATTTCAGTTAGGAACTGGGAAACCCCAAATCACTATTCATTGTGAAGTCCACCGAATGACCTTCAGCTAAAAGATCTGAATTTGTTTTGTATATTCAGATTCAAGGAGCATCCTTCCTTCTCCCTTGTGGAAAACTTTGTATTCATCAAATGTTTCCTTTTATTTTCTAGATGTAACCAGACAAGCTACTCTCAGGAAAATGTACCTCCATTGAAACAAAAGGCATGCATCTCTTGGAATTCTAGAATATCCCTCAGTTTATTGTTCTACACTTCTATAGAACTGACCACCTAGCAAAGATATCTATCAGCCAACAATGCCTACCGTGCCTTTTATTGAATGGGGCTCTTGATGACTTAAATGATTTGATGGATGGGAAAACTGACCTATGATAGAAAAACTATATTTCTATAATCCATTTTTATCTTTTTATTGATATATCATCCATCCTCATCATCCAAAATTAAGTTCTATTAGCAAATATGAAATACATATGGCTTCTTTACTGGATTATATTTCAGCTATGTTTCCACCATGATGAATACTTTAAGTTTGCACCAAGCAATTGCAATTGTTGCCTAAACGTAGCTTTGCCTGTTCTTGCTGATCTTATTATTATCTAATTATGTTAGTTGAATAAAAGAGGGATGTTTTAATGGGGAAATTGTGCTTAACCCTAAACTGGTTAGAGCCATCAAGAGGTTTGAAGCAGAAATGCTTTACCTGAATGCTGTAAGTAGTAGAAACTTACCTGAATGCTGTAATTTGCGTATTGTGTGGAAAAAGAAGGGTGCAATGTGCCTGAATATATGGATAAACTTGTTTTGGAAAAACCATGAAAAAAATAATGTTCTTCCCTCCCTAAAAAATTGCCAAGGAGTTATTTTGTATAGTAAAATGCATTCTATATTTAAAGAATATTTTTATAATATATATTTCTGTTTCAGCTCAGTCCTAGCTATTACTGAAACTCAGTAAGACTAATGGAAGAATTTTCATGTTTTCAACAAGATTTGCCAATCTATATACATCTATTTAGGTCTACTGCATTCAAAAGGTCTTATCCCTAGGTAAATGTACAATGGATTGCAACTAATGTCATGGCTAATTTTAACTGAATCAGGGCTATGGGTTGACTCCTGTCCTACCTATTAGCATGCCATAATTAAACAACTTAGAAGTCACCCATACACACATATTACTTAAATTCAGTAGCGGGGATTGAATTTGACTTTCACTTTTCATAATAAACATCATAATAAATAACATTTGTTTCAATATACAGACTTTGCTTCCAATTGTATTCATCTGTTGTCTGATTTTTTTTTCCTGTTAAATCTGCTGACCAGATCCAATATCTAGCCTTGCATTTGATTTTGAGATCTTGCTGGACCCACTTTCACTCAGCCATCCAAGTGAAAATATGTTTCTCTAATGTCTATGGAGATTCTCAGTCATCCAGGTCATGGTTGTCCCAAAGGTGCTTTTTCAAGAGGCAACTGGACTTTCTGGTTTTCCTTTGAAGACATTTTGCTTCTCATCCAAGAAGCTTCTTCAGCTTTTTTTATTTAATGGTTCATAACAAACTGTTGCTCTAAGAACCTGACCCCTGGGCTAACTATGTCCTTTAACAAATTTGATCCATTAACATTTAGTTGTTTTTCAGCAGTCAGTGGGAAAACATTCCCTATTAGTAAACTTTGAAGAACACTAACTGAAGCTAAACAGTTCAGCAAGTTTGAGACAGAAACAAAACTTAAGTTAGAACTCCTAAGTAGTAGAAGATGGATTGATTGATTAGACTTCTGGCTGACTAGCTCCAAAATGACTTTCATCAACTTGACAAAAGTTCATTTTTTAAAAAAGTATCTTTATTGCCAAATGGAATAAACTAACATCTTTCCACAGCAGATTTCAATTTAAAGGGCCATGTCCACACATCCTAATTAAAGGGGGGGGAAAAGAGTTTTTAAAGATTACTTGAAGGTGGGCAAGTTATGAGCCATACAATTTGTTTGGGGGGTGGAGGGGTGCTGTTCTAAAGGTAGGTGCAATGGCAGAGAAGGCCTGCCTTCTAGGTCCTTCTAGATGATAATATGGGAAACAAGTGACCTCCTCAAGCAGATTCTATTATATGCAATATAGGCCTTTAGAGGTAACAAGTCAGGAACTCCTCCCTTGGTCTTCAATAATAAGTGGTTTGCTATGTCCTCTGTATTAAAGTGAAGGCTCATTCAGAATATCAGTGCTTTCCTTCTGAATTTCCTTTCTAGTGAACTTTAGACACAGGTTAAAGATAGATAAGAGATTGCTACAAGTGCCATGAGTTTATTGAGGAAGTTCAAGGAATCTTTGGTTTCCAATCAAACTGACTGGTTCAAGTTTTATAGTTTCCTCCTCCCACCCAACACATTTGTTGTTGTTGTTTTTTTTATAAAAGGGACAATAGCTTACTTGCTGAAGAGGCTTTTCAGACAGTAACACATCAGTAGCCATCCCATTTAATGGAGAACAAAAGCATGCCTTGGGACTCGTAGCCTGGCTTTTCAGATTTATACCCAGAGCTCTCCTAGAGCCAAACCTTCTATATCAGAGTTCCAGGCCACTCGAGAATGACAGCTGGCTGGCTTGTGTCAGACTCTTGGGCACTTGGGTATCTCAAGTTTAAAATAGCAATTCTCGGAGGCCATACAATAGCCAGTGCTTATATGGGCTCAGGGCGGGGGAGGGATGAATTGCACAAGAGGCTGTGGCTGACCCTGCCAAAATAGCAACAAAGCTTTGCATTCCAAGCTGTTCCCGGCTGGCATTCCTCCAATCAGGCATCCAGCATCCAGGGTGGCTGATAAGGGTGGAGTGCTCTTGTTAAAGCCTCCCTCTTTTTAAATTGCATTTCTCAGACACTACATTTGTTCCCACTGAAAGGACTTTCCACCTGCTCTCTGGGCAAAAGGTAAGGAGCCCCAAACCATATCTTGCATTCCTCCATCTTAAACTAACCGGGACACATACCATATCTGAAAATAACGTATTTGAAATTGGGATTGGGAGGAGTATCTATTGTGTGGCAGTACCCCAAATCTACCCCCTCTCAATTTTTCTGGATACCCTTCCTTTGAAATGCAAATATATCAGTTTGTTCTTATTGATTTCAGTATGTATGTATACATACAAGTGGCTCTGTATGTATGGGTATGTTTGGGAGAGAAGGCAAAGGCTATAATACCACAAGACTGTTTAGACTTGAAAACAAAACAAGGGATTCAGTTTGTAATATCAGTCTGTGTAAAATGGTTTGCTAAATGCACATTTAGAAAACATGGCATGTATAAATTGGGGGAAGATAGTATTAGACTGGTATTAGTGTTTCTTTTCTTTTGTAAGCCAGGTAGCAAAAAAAGAGTGAATTTTCACTGAATGTTGGAAACCATTCAAAGATGAACAAGGGAAGTCAGTAGCAGGAGTACATAGCCTGTTTAAAGTATGCTTTTGCATTGCACAATAATTGCTTTTTGTAACATTGCCATTATCACAAAGACAGATATTCTTAATCTAAGATCAGTTAATTTTCTTGGTAAATTCCTGAGGTGTATATATGTATATGATCTGCATATACACATATAGAGTTCTAATTCTTCATTAGTTAAGGTAGGTGGATTCAAAATTTTATGAAAATACTGCATAAGAATATAGCTAGTGTCATCCTGAGGTAACCAAAAATTCTTATCAGGATGATTACAGTCCCAAAAACATAAAAGACTACAATGTGGACTCAACTTAGAAATAATCACAGGTCTACAGTACTTTAGTACAAAGTAGGGAACATTTGTACTAAATATACTATCTACATTTAGTACATTAAGAGTGACATATTATTTGAAAACTGATGTCTAGATAAGGAAAGTTTTGAATAAATTTAGAGAAAATTTAGAAGTGACTAAGTCAACCTATTATTCAATTTTCAAATAACTGGACATGTGCAATATCTGTGACCAGGATGCAGCTCCTAATGCCATTTCCTTTATTGTTCTCATAATGCCTTTGTGAATTTGTGCAGCAACATCCATGATTCTATTCTTTTACAGCTGTTACGGACAATTCAAATAACTTTGTGACAATCTTCCAAAGTAAGAAGAGAAACAGGGACTTAAGGGACAGAACAGCTGGTCTGACAATTGAGAATTATTTGTTGAACTCCCCAGAACCTGCTTAAAATGCCCCTCAGTTTGGTGATTTGCTTCACGGTTGATTTACTGTAGCAGGATTGGATTTGCTGAAAGCAACTGCCAAGATTCAGGGATGTTTTAAACAAAGAAAAGGAACAACAAGGTTCACATGCTTATATTGTTGCAGGTAGAAACACAGGCAGGTGAGCTTGGGGTAACTGGTTTTAAGTATGAAGCTCAGAGGGAAGAGAGAAACTGCTTAGATCTTAGTTCAGGGCTGTGAAACTCCTGGCCCGTGGGCCGGATGTGTCATGCACTGGCCACGCCCAGTTTAGCAAAGGGGAAAAATGTTCCCATACATCATGGGTGAGTTTGACACTTCTGCCGTGAGTTTGACACTTCTGCCTTAATTAGTCCTCTTTTTTCTGCTGCAGAAAACTGTGAGCAAAGCTAAAACTCCAAAATTATTGTATTGTTCTTGGAAAAGAGAAGAAACTAATAATGGCCATTATTATCTCTCATATGAAAGTTGACAGTGGTAAACTGTGCAAGCAACAACCCTCTAGAAATAAAATAAGTTACGATTCTCCATTGGCATTGCATTGGGTATGCAAAATACTGTTTGATTTGGGATAATAGCTTAGATGTGATTATGGACTTATTTATCAATGTTGTTTCTGGCACTAGTTGCTAGAAATTTAAGATGTTTGAGCTCCCCAGACTCTAGCCTCAGGCAGTACTGCGAAGAAAAATTCCTCTTCTTGTCTCCAGACTATAGGGTGTAACCGTGAGGTTACAAGTACTGCTATACTTGTTAAATATGGAAGTAAGAAAAAGTATTGGGTTTTTTTTTATAAAGAGAATAATGGAAATGTAGGATGAAAGAAACATATCAGGATTATAATTTTGAACCATAATGTATTTTTTTTCTCAGTATATTTCTTGACCTCATTTAAAACAGCTGTCTTTCACATCACTTGTGTCCTTAGTTTGTTATATCAGACATGACTACTTGTGATGTCTCTGCTTGTTCTTTCTTATCAGTTCTGCTGCTAATCTCTACTTATTTTAGAAGAACTATGCTGCCAAGATGTGAAATGGAAATAAAAAACAAGCTTTGCTGTCAGTATTATCAGCAAAGAAGTGCTTTTAGACCTCAAGCCAAATTCAACAGTTACATTTATATTAGGCATTGGTGGTGCTTGCTTTTTATTCTGACTTCATTGCACTAAAGTCTTAGCTTTCTCACTCCTTGTCAATATCTTTTGCTGTTTCCTTTCCCAAAGACATTATACACATTTTACTAACCATAGAGACTACAGTTCAGTATTCCAGAAATGGTAGATGTTAAATGTTGTGTCAACTAAGAACTTGAGATTCCAGATAAATATTTGAGCTTGCAGTTTTGTGCTTATGAATACAATAGCCTTGTGTTCATCTTAGTTTGGCATTATATTTCTCAGAATAGCCAATCAGATATAAATATGAGATCCCTTTTTTTGCTTCCCAATGGTATTTAAAGAAATGCTGGAGGTAGCATCTTCATAGAGCTGTCCTCCATGATTTTATTTGATTGCCTTTTTAAAGCGATCCAAATTAGTGTCCATCATAATCTTATGGTTTTGAATTTTACAGATTAATTAAAGTCTTATATTGCTCTTGTTATCTGTTTTATGGGTAATAATCAAGTATTTGGCTGGGCCAACCTTTGGCTGGGCAGGGGTTTTAGAGAGAACATCCTCCCTTCCTCCCTTTTATCTCTTATCCCCAAATAGACTTCCTTTCTCCTAAGGCTACCTTTGTCTAGCTTTCACATATACTGCTGTGGAACTAGTCATAGATTTAGTTAGCTCTTGCACTTTGCTATCATCATGAAAATAGATAGAATAGATCCAAATTGTTACAAATGCCCTGTTTCTGTTATATCTGGGAAGTTGTGAATGTCTCATTGTAAGAGAGATTGATGCCCGAAGCCCTTAAGAGGTGTGGATCTTCCCTTTCTTTAAGAGATCTGAATGTATTAGATAAATACCATCTGGTTTCTAACATTCCCTTCTTAGTAAAGATTTTTGAGATGGTGGTTCAGGACCAACTACAAAGCATTCTACAAGAAGCA